CTACTGTATGTAGCCAGCAGCCAGCGTGAGCGGCCAGCAGCCGCAGTGAGCGGCCGTCCAGAAGCCGGCGACTGATCTGCCTCGCCAGAGAAGAGTGCAATGATGGTGCCAACTTGGGTCAGTGAAGCAACGTCCTCCACAACTAGACTGAAGAACAAAAAGACAGTAACTTGTCTGTTCCCCTTCCCCCAATTCCCCCGCTACTGTTCCCATCCCCCCAATTCCCCATAAAAAAATCTAAAAAAAAAAAAAAAGAATAGCAAGTGGTGGCAAAGATGAGGAGAAACTGGAATTCTCATACATTACTGATGGGAATGCAAAATGGTGCAGCTGTTTTGAAAAACAGTATGGTAGCTCCTCAAAAAGTTAAACAAAGAGTTACCATATAACCAGCAATTCCACTCATGGGTATATACTATCTAAAAAAGTTGAAAACACCAGCCGAGTGGCTCAGTTTGTTAAGAGCTTGCTCAAAAGTTTGAGCTCTGAGCAACAGCGGTTCGATGCCTGGCCCGAGCTGAGTTGCTGCTGAGCTCAGCTAAAAAAAAAAAAAGTTGAAAACATATGTCGAAACAAAAACTTGTACATGAATGTTCATAGAAGCATTATTCATCATAGTCAAAGGTGGAAATAACCCAAATGTCCCTCAACAGTTGAATGTGGTATGAAATATTATTCAGCAATAAAAAGAAATACTGCAACATGCTGCAATGTGGGTAGACATTGAAAACATGCCAAGTGAAAGAAACTAGACACAAAAGGTCACACATTATATAATTCTATTTATATGAAATGTCCAGAATAGGCAAATCTACAGACACAAAAAGTAGATTATTGGTTGTCAGAGACTGAGGAGTAAGGTGAGGGAATAGGCATGACTGCTAATGGGGATAGGGCTGTTTTGGGGTGGTGGTGAAAATGTTCTAGAATTTGATAGTGGTGATAGATGCGTGATTCTATCAATATACTAAAGACCACTGAATTGTATAATTTAAATGAATGAACTGCATGGTACATGAATTATATCCCAATAAAGCTGTAGTTTTCAAAAATAGACATACTACTCATTTTGGTAGTCCATCAAAAATGAGGATAAAGTATGTCAAGAGTGAGACAAATTCCCAGGAAGTTTAATTCAATGTACAAATAATTTTTTAAAGTAATATAAATGCACTTTTATTTTGGAGCTATAAAGACAGCAAAAAGTAAATCTGACCATTAAACATGTGAGTCCATGAAGATAGAGTGTCGGTAGCAAAAGCACTTGTTAAAAGGAAAAGCAAAGAGTGACAGGAAGAGAAATGAATAACGTTAACTGGAGTGAAACACGGAAACACAATAGGGAAGGGAGCACGCCAGCCTCATTTCGTTCTTGGTTTTGATGAAAGTCACTTTTAACTGTAACTATTAGGCAATTCCCAGGAGCAATATGATGAGGGAATGTAGAAACCCCTTTGCCTGGGAATTCCAGCCCTCTTTGTTCAGGAGCTCTAAGGTTAATTCATTGGTTGGAAGTTCTCAGGGGTTCTGATCCTCTCTAGGGTGTCCTTCCCAGCCCCCCAACCACTGAGGTCCCAAGTTCTTAGTGGTAAGAAGTCTGTCTGTAGACAAGTAAAAATAATTACAGCAAAACCTTGGATTGCAAGTAACTTGGTTTGTGAGTGTTCCGCAAGACGAGCAAACATTTCTAATACATTTTAACTTGGTAAACAAGTGATGTCTTGCAATACGAGTAGTTTTTTTCCAGAACCAATTATGCTCGCAAACCACGGTATTGCTAACCATCAGCAGTGAAAGACTTTAAACAGATGGGTAAGTATCAGAGCCTCTTGTACTTTAATTTAAAAATTACAGCTCAGCCCGATTAACAAGAAGTTATGACTTTTGGGACTGGAGTCCGATGGTCTCTGGCCCACGCATCAGTGCTCAGTAATCACTTTTGCTGGGCATGCAGGGTAGAATGCTGACCTTATTGATTTTACTATCTCACGTGGCTCCTGAGGGAAAGGCAAGGTGGAAATAAATTGTAAACCCGTGCATGTTTTGTCCATGTCTCCCAATCTGCATTTATCAGTTCAGAGCTCCTTGGCTCTCAGATGTGGCATTAATTGCTTATTTGACTGGCCCTTACTTTTTAAGTAAACGAGGAGCACACAATTTGAGAATTGGTTTTAAATTGGTGTTGACTCATTTTTACATGAGTTCAAGGTTCCACTTCCGGGGTTCCCAGGAAGCCGTGCACATTATTCATGATACCCCGGCATCAGCTGGGGAAGTGGGATGTTGCCACCAGCTCTATTGACTGTTACAAAGAAGCACCCAGACCAATAAAGGAGATAGTTCCTATAGAGGTGAGTGAGGACAACGGTGTGTTCCAAGCACAAGAGACATTTATGTGGGCCAGAAAAGAACAGTTGAGAAGTCAGGTAAGAGCAGGTGTATTTTTGCCTTGGTGGGCTACATATTATATAAAGCCCCAATTTTGGGCAGAACTGTGTTATTTCTCATGTTTACAGGGAGATGGTTGCCTTGTTTCCAAGAAAATATTACTGAATGTAAAAAGGTCAGTATAATCACTGACCCCGGAGGCAGAAGATCTTCTTGGTATAACTGTCTCTGAGAATCAATTTCCTTATCTGCATTGGGCTACTTTTAAGGACCTTTGAACACAAATATTCTATAGCCATATATTTTAAATAAAAATGAAGAACAAAAAAAATAGTGCTAACTACAAGCATTGCCTAATTAGGCTAACAGACTGGCTGATCTCTTTTTAGATATTTGCTGTTTGGGGTTTCTATGTTTTTGAGTATTTAAATCTGTTCAACTTGTTTCAACAAATATATACAGAGCTTCCAGTAGATGTGCAAATGCTTGAGAAATGATTCAAATATTTAGAAGGGCTACTAGAACTATGGGTGACATCGTTTTCTATGTATTCTTAACTGTTTGTAATTTTGCAGTATTACTTTACGACTAAACAAATTAAGGATTACCACAAGGATAACAAATAGGCTAGTTATCTTAAATGTCAATTCTGATCAATTTCTAATGTCTGCTTGGAGTGCCATATTGAGGGCTATGAAGCTCATTTCAGACTCAATGGCAGAGAATGCTGTGATCACTCAGTAATGTCTGCCAAGGGAAAAGGACAGGACATGTGCTATGTATTTGTCAACACTCTGCTATATAACCTAGGGGCAAAACGATCTCCCCTTACCCCTTTGAATGTGGATACTGGACTCCAGATTACAAGCTTAGGCCCTCTCCTACTAGCCTTAAATAGAAATTGAGGACCCGTCGGGGCAGCCAAGCATGGCTACCAAACCCAGCCTTCCATGTTGGGGAGCATCTCATGCATAATTTGAAGCGAATGTTTCCTCTAATTCCAGAGATGCTCTAGAGAAATACTGTTTAGTGCAGAGTCTTCTCATCCCCTCATAACCACACTGAAGACCATTACTCTCCTCTCCCTCCCCCACACCCATCATGCCTGGGAGATGGCTCCTGCAACAAGGTCTTGAGTCTGGAATTTCTCAATGTACCCTGGGATTCACAGCGATGATGCACAGTGGACAAGACTATCAGTTCATGGGCCAGACTCCTTTTTAACACACCAAGTAGGAGTTCCCACTGCCTCCCCCCAGATGAAGAGCTGGTCAGCGCTTACGGTCCATTATCCTCCGCACTGCTGGGCCCTCTGCAGTCATTTCCCTCACAATCTCATTGTCATCCTCATTCGCATCCAGCCAGCGATTGCAGTTGAAGTTATATTTGTCCTTGGTCAGAGTGTTCATCAGAGTCATCTGGAATGAAGTCCTAGGGTAAGCAAGTGGGTGTACCAAAGCTATTCATCCATGCCCTGAGGGCCCTGCTATCTGATCTCAGGGAGGGTAAGGCCATCCCCTAGAGATGACTCTTGTGGGAGGTGGAGCGCCAGATTAATATTGATCTCCCTGGCTCCCTGAGGCCCACATTTGCCTAGCAGCCAGGTGACTGGGGCAAAATGCAAGTAAAGACTGAACAACTGAGCATTTTCTTAGTCTACTTTGGAAGTCCCCTCCCTATCGGGAAGTCCCTGTGTCCTGTGTCCAAATTCATGTCTCACCGTAACTCTTCCCCGCCCTGACACCCAACAGATACAAGCAAACTTATGTGACAGGCTCATTAGAAAGGGACTGTTCTGGTTCCTCTCCCAACCACCTCCCAAGCCCCAAGTCGGTACATCTCACCCTTTCCAAATGCCATCCGGCACCAGCAATCATACTATTATGCCATGTCCGAATCTTATAAAATCTGCCGAGGTCCGGAATCTCAATCTATGGTGAGAAATAACAAGGTTTGGTTGGGCATGACCAAGTGAAATGTGTTCAACCTCGTCGCTGACCCCCTGCCTGGAAAGCACCAGCTTTGGGCTTTTTCTTTGGTAGTAAGAATGGGTTTCCTTCAAGCCACCCTCATATACTCTATCCTCTCATGCCCTTGTAACCAGTGGCATGTGAGGGCGAGATAGCCATGTAGAGCTAGGGTTCAGTCTGAGCTGGTGAAACTGAACAAAAATAACTGACCCACAGTAGGATCCAGACTAAAGAAAATCTTCCAAGCCCTAAACTTCCAGTAACAAAATCCATATGACAGCCCTGCAAATTAGTACAAGCCCACAGCCCCAGAGCTCTGCTGGGCACTGAAACAGACAAAAAGATCAATACAGCAGTGGTGCCCTTTCCCTAGGGGCTCGCTGTCTAGCCAGGAAGACAAATAAAGAAAGAGCAATGAACTGAGTGGTATAATAGAGGCACCGGCAGGGTGCTCTGAGAAGAGAGCAGCAAATTACAAATTATTCTTACCTAAAGGTCAGAGCTGCACTTCTGTTGGCAAAACCAGCCTTGCTCTAGTTATACACATACTGGTAATTTAAAGCTGAATTTCTTTTAAAATGTTCTGAAATTTGTACTTTCTCTTAAATTTGTTCCTCACTCTCTAATTCAGTCCAGATTGGGCAGTTTGACACTCTGCTTAAAGGTCTCTGTTCTACAATGACTCCCAAAAGTTGCTAGGCTCCCAGATGCTCAAAACAATTCCATACTCACTTCTTCCCCATGCTTGGTTCTGGGCTGTTTGATTCCGGGGAAAGGACAGGTCTAAACCACGCCCATTTATACATTGCCTGTAGATCAAATCGGGTGCTCCTTGTAGGAACCTGAAGTCTCCATTGTACCTTTTTTGCCTTCAAATTTGATCTACACCTGCCTTAAAACACCAGAATCCCATGACAAATGCCTCTTACACGCATTCTTCCTCCCTCCCTCCCACCCTGTCACACTTCTCTCCTACCCTAAACTTCTCAAATATGCCAGGTCTTAACCACTGGCCGTTGGAGTTCAGGACAATCTCATCCGTCCGCCCCTTCCTCCCAAAAATCTGGATGGAGATGGGAGTGTTGGTAGCAGCTTTCCTCAGGTCAGTCGTCAAGACCCACAGGGACCAACAGATTTCTGCAGAGACAAGTCAAGTTGTACCATAAACTTCAAGAAGTAGAGATTTTCGTGGCACCAGTGGGGAAGAGGAGTAAATCAAAGATGATCGGGGCAGAAGCACGGTTTATGCACAGGAGCGTCCCACTTAGAAACCCATTCTAACAAGTGCCCATTTTAGGAAGCCAAAGACTCTTTGCTATTTGAAAGAGGGTGCCTAACCTTCCTTCTAATGAAGGAAGCACATCAGTGTGCTTTAAATAGGGGAAAAAGTTGACTTCACCCACCCTGCGTCTGGTGTATTCAGAATGCACTGTGTTGAGCATTTGGTTTAACAGCTAGCCCATCACAACAGTTTATTCAACTTGGGGACTCTGGAGTGTCATCCTTGGTGCCAGGTGTATGGCCTAAACCTTGAAAAACTAAGCTCCCTGGGAGGTCCTATCCCTTCCTTTCCAGAAGAAAGAGGCATGGATCCTCTCAATGCTCTTGCCCAGTGGTCTGACATTCTGGCCTCCCCTGGCCCTGTCTGGGAGGCCACCAGGCTCTGGACCCCTTCCACCTACTTTTCAGCCTCTTCTTCTTGAGAGACACCATCTCATAGAGCTGCCTCTCGATCAGCCCATCCGCCTTCTTCTCATCCAGCCAGTTGTCGCAAGGGAAGGTCTGCTGGATGCCCGTGAAGGGACACAGAATCACCACCTGGGGGGAGCAGATCATGAGAATCTCCTGTAGCAGGTCCCTGGGTTGGGACCTCCTTGCCATGCTCAGCAGCCTCCTCAACCCTACGTTAAGGGTTATCTGCATTAGGACCCTCAAGGAATGGCACTTTCTTCCCGTTGCCTGTCTCAGTAAATCTTAGATCAAGAAATACCTTCTCCAAGAAGTCTTCCCAAGTAGGTGTCATCCATCCTCCAGTTTACTAGCCCAAATCTCAAACCTTTTCCTCTATATACCATATTATACACCTCTTTAAACATCATATTTCTTTTTTTTTTTTTTAAGTTTTTTATTGGGGAATTGGGGGGATGGGAACAGTGCTGGGGAATTGGGGAAAGGGGAACAGACAAGTTGCTGTCGTTTTGTTCTTCAATCTAGTTGTGGAGGATGTTGCTTCACTGGCCCAAGTTGGCACCATCATTGCGCTCTTCTCTGGCGAGGCAGATCAGTCGCCGGCTTCTGGATGGCCACTCACTGCGGCTGCTGGCCGCTCACGCTGGCTGCTGGCTACACACGGCAGCCCATGGCAACCCACTGCAGCAGGGGCTGCAGCCCACGCCGTCGCCGGCGACTCATGGCAGCCCAGCTCCAGGTTGAGCTGTTGTTCAGCATCTTAGCTGTGGAGGGCAGTGTCACTGGCCCTCATATGTGGGATCCGAACAGGGGCCCTCTGGCATCCCAAGCAAGTTCTTAACCATCGCGCCACTCGGCCGGCCCTAAACATCATATTTTTTTACACACATTGTAAAATCTTCATCTGAACCAAATGAGTGAGAATACTGTTGTAAATTAATCCCTTATATTTGTCTTGCAGGAAAATGGTCAATCACATGAAAGGTAATTAATATCTGGAATTTAATAGAAAAACTATCTGCCCTCTTCTGGGCTTAATATTCATTCAGCCTTCTCTCCTTCACCCTTTCCATCTCAGCCCATGTTCCAAACTCATGGGTTTAGAACATGGATATCTATCTAGCCCAGGTCACTCACATTATCGATGTTCAAAGGAACATTTCTGGAACACTACGAAATCTTCTATCAATACACACTTAGGCAAAATTTATAATAGCAGATACTTTTGGGAAGAGAGAGGATTATATGATTAGGAAGGACACAGAGAAGTTTCAAAAGCATTGTGAATGTTTTGTCTTAAGTTGGGTGATAGACAAAATTCATATTTGTGTTTCATTGCTCCCTGTATCTCACTGTTGTTATGTATAGTCTGTAAAACCTAAGTATCGCACAATAGAAACATATACAGGGAATGCCAAAAAATGTATACAAGTGGACACTATGGTCAACGTTGCTCAGGCAGCAGTTCACCATAACCAGAAGTGTCTGGACGCCTGTGGTAACCACTTCGAGCACCTCTCATAATTACAGAAGTCAAACGTGGCTTATATTCATCTTTGGTTATCTCTATATATCGAGTATTACAATTTTAATATTTTTTTCCTTTCTTAAAATGTGTATACATTTTTGGGCACTCTCTGTATATTTAAAAATACTTGTTGATCGAGAGGTTCATAAGCTGAAGGGAAACACCACACCAGAAATTGCCAGCTGAGCACCTCCAATACCCTACCCTGCATTTGGCCCTTGGATGCATGTACAGAATAGCCCCCATTCCTGACCATCGGCAAGACAAGATGGATGGGCAGGTGACCATCTGAAACACCCAATGAAAGGGATTGCCCATGTGCTCTGTTCCTTGTTTAAAGGAAGTAGGAAGCAGGTAAGAATTTGTATTTGTAAGTTCAAGGAGAGAGGGGTTGAATCAGGGAAGGGTCCCTCCAGGGGCATCCCTTACCTTCTCACAGTGCCAGCCTTTTTTGGAGCCATCATTGCAATGCCCAATGGCGACCCGACTCAGAGGGCTGAGGAGGACAGCTAGCTCAATCTGGAAGATGTCTGCACGGGCACGGTCAAACACACCACCCTCCAGGAAGATTTTCCCGCTGTTCTTATTCCCTCTGGCCCCGTACATGACCAAGTAGATTTTGGATTTGGTCTCAGCTCCTCGGAGATCCCCAGTGAAGATGGTGACAATATAGGAGAGAGCTAGTGGGGGAACAACAGGGGGAAGGAAAGGGTTCAGTGCCAGCTAATCACAATATCCCACCCACCTTCTCCCCTACCTGGCTACCCCCTCTCTGGGCCACATCCCCCGTTGTCCTCCTCCCCTAGATGACGTCCAGTGCCTCTCTCAACCTCACTTTATCTTTTTCAGAGTTTGTGTGTCGGTGTATCTGAGTTTAGGAATAAGCTGTAGGTATTATTACAGGAAACTGCCAGACCTGATTATAGGAAACTAACAAAGAAAAGGAGGAACTTGGGTTAGCTAAGAATAGTACTTATTATTAATGTTAATTATCATGTATATATTATTAATACCTGCCAGATGAATTCTGTTATGTCTTATTTAATTGTAATAGTCAACTCCATTCATAGAGATTTATATTCAGGGCTGTCTGATTCACTTAGCTTGCTCTGTTGCTCATAACTTAAACATAGCACTTTTTTTTTTTTAGATTTTTTTTATTGGGGAATTGGGGGAAGGGAACAGCGCTGGGGAATCGGGGGGAAAGGGAACAGACAAGTTGCTGTCGTTTTGTTCTTTAGTCTAGTTGTGGAGGATGTTGCTTCACTGGCCCATGTTGGTATTATCATTGCACTCTTCTGGGGTGAGGCAGATTGGTCACCGGCCTCTGGATGGCTGCTCGTGGCGGCTCTTGGCAGCTCACACTGGCTGCCTGCCGCTCACGCTGGCTGCCAACCATTCACGGTAGCTTATGGCAGCCCACTGCAGCAGGGGCTGCAGCCTACGCCATTGCCAGCAACTCACGGCAGCCCAGCTCCAGGTCGAGCTGTTGTTCAGCATCTTAGCTGTAGAGGGCAGTGTCACTGGCCCCCACGTGGGATCTGAATTGGGGCCCTGCTGATCAGAGCTGGCATCCAGCTCTTAACCAACGTGCCACTTGGGTGGCCCAAACATATCACTTTTAATAGAGGACACAAATGTCCTTCACTGACTGACGTTGTGAGATGAGGGCAGATTGAGAAAGGGAGAGAACATGGTAGGATGAGCCATTTGGGGTTTTGGTTGGTCAGGAGGCAATATGAGGACATGGAGTTCTGGGGAAGAGCCCGCGAGGGGAAACCCAACTCTGAGATGGGACAGAGGAAGAGAAAAACATCAAAGACAGACATTTGGACAGGAAAATCTCATTCGTTCATTCTGTCCTGGAGTCGAAGGCAATGGCCTTTCAGTCCTTGTTAACTCCCCACACCTGCTCCTGACCCTACCCCACCCTCCACCTTCACCCCTTGGCCCCAGAGAAATAAAAATCCCAAATTTCTTGGGGAGCTAGCACGTGCAACTACATGAACGCAGTATTCATTCATAGATATTTACACCTTCCTTTGTGCAACAAACATTTAGTGAGTGCTTATTATATGCCAGGTATTGGGAGACTATGAACCATAAAAGAATGGCCAGTGCCCTAAAAGAGCGGGTCGCCAGCCTCATTCTCCCAAACTCGCAGATGGATGGTGGCTCTCACACACTCACCCTCCCGTGACCTGGGTTATCAGCAATTCCCAGCCTCTGACCGCCATTTCTCCTGTCCCTCTATCCCTGGAGGCAAGCAATAGTATCATAATTAAAGGGGTTCTGTCCAATCCATTCTAGTATACGTTTTTAAGTAAATCATTTGCAAACTCTAGTTACAAATGACTTGTGACACACCTAACAAAGGTCAGCCCAGGTCAAAGGGTCACACTGCTGAGGTTGAAAAGTGCTGGAGCCGAGACACTTTTGGTGTCCTGAACAACAGCAGTAGGGGTCTGCCTGAAGTGTCTAGAGCAAAAGAAGGGAGGGACGGCCCTGTCTAGAAGAGGTAGGGAGGGTTCAGAGGAAGTGACTGGAAGCAGGAATTTGGGAAACACAAATTACAGGTGGAGAAGGCATGTTTCAAAGATAAAGGGAAAGAAAGATTAAGACAAGCAGCTAAGGGTGGGAAGAGAGGGAAGCCATGTGGAGCAGGTGGGGGGAGAGTGGGGCGGTGGTGGTACAGGGAAGAGTGAAAGGTGTGCAGATGAGGTGGAGGGAGACGGAGGGTGTGGGGAAGTGGTGGAGAAGATGTTGAAAGATTCTGCGTCTATGGTGAACTGGAGTCAAATTGTGGAGCAATTTGTACACTGTACCCAAGAATTTGGATTTATTCTCTATGCAGTAGAAGCCATGGGAGGTTCTGCAACAGGGCACATTCTTAGATGTGCTATTCACCCACATCAATTTTCTAGATCATCCATAAACTTCCATGCTGTGAGTAGTGGGTTTCCCATGGAATTCATACAGGGTAGAGAGTTAGAAAGCAGGCCTAATCCTGGATCTGTCAGTTACCAGCCTCAGACCGAGGGGAGGTCTTTTGGCTTCCACGTGACTCAGTTTCCTCATCTGTGAAATGGGAATGATAACAGTTCCTATATTACAGGGTTGTTGTGAGGATTAAAGGAGATGAAATGGGTCAGGTGCCTTGCAGAGAGGGCTGGCACATAGTAAGCACTCAGTATCAGGAGGAGCTAAGAGTAAATCAATGTCCTCATACATGCCCACATGTATCAGGAACTCTGGCTTCCTCCCCTGGATGACTTCTTTTGCCCTGGGCAGTGAGTGTCTGCTCAGAGGCATCTCCCCATCTCCTCTGGCATCAGCAGAGCTCCAGACTCCAGTCCAGAGGAACAGAACATTTTGAAGAGCAAGAGGGATGTTGTCTGAAGACATAGCGGCTCCCACTTGATCATAGGCCTCTGGGCCCATGGATGAGAACACTGAGCCTCAGGCAGAAAGTGAAATATGAGCCAATAGGGCCTCCTCTCTCTTCAGTTTTACCTGTGGTCTCAGCTCCGCCCACTAAGATAGTCCTTTGGATTTTGCCATCATCTTCATCCAAGGCCAGCCAGCGGTTAAGAGGAAAATCATATTTTCTTTTGTTTGCAACATCCTCAATGACAATCTGGGATGAGAAGGGAAGAAATGTTAAGTGTCATGGAGGGCGCACCTCGGGATCAAATCCCCTTCCTCCATCCCTTGAGTGTACTCTAATTATACACGCTTCTCTTAGTGGCTCAAGGAAAACTTACCACAAGGACACACCTGTTGCCAGGAAAACTTTACAAAACATTGAGGGTCACACAGGGATGCCTGGCAATTGCCTCCTACTTGAATTACTGAGCCACAGTTCCCTCCTCTGCTGCAGATTATTTTTAAAAATTGAATGCGAGACACTTGGCAGGATGTGCCCTGTGAGCCTGGGGTGTGAGAACTGGAAGCCTGGATTTCCAGATGGCAAAAAGATCATCACCTTCCTCACCTGCTGAAGGTTGGGATTCTACCCTTCTCGGTGAGAAGCACAGTCCATGCAAAGGGAACTGCAAATCTGGGTGCCAAATCAGGCACCCAGAATCCCAGGATCTGGTGATCAGGTCAGAAAACATCAGCCACTGACAGCGAAGCTAGTGGAATTTGTCACCTGTGAAGCTTCTCACGAGGGACTCACATATGATCTAAATGGACAAAGCTGAGATGCGTGCCTTTTAGAGCTTATCAAGGAGCTGAGGGATCTTCCCAAACTGTCCTGGGAAGACCCAACTGAAAACTCACTCTAACGTAAGTGGAATTGTCAATAGCTAGGACATATCCTCCAGTCACAGCATTGTGAAGGCAAAATATCTTGTGACAGACCAGTTGAGTTGGAAAGTAAAAATGTTTGCCCAGGTGTTCCCAAGACTGCCCAAGAGTGGGGCTCTGATTTTCCATGAAAACTCATTTCCTAAGAGCAAAGTATCTGAAGCATGCAAACAGGGCACACGCTAGGCTGCCTGAAGGCATCTCACCTTATTTTAATCCAGTGTTCAAAGAACATTTGGGGCTAAGCACTGACCTCCTGAGGACACCACCTACCAGGGAGGAGCCAGTGGCCTGGACTAGACTTCCCACCAGGCTTCAGTCCCCCAATAAGTCAGCATTCAGGCTCTGGTTTATCAATCAGTCCCTTGTAAGTTTGGTTGGTGTGAGTCACCCTTCAGAGCCTGCTGATTTGATTGAATGTCTGTACTTTTAAAGCTGAATGCGTGGAGACCACTGTGGCACTACCCAGAGAGGTTTATGCTATGGTAGTCCAGACTCTCCCAATTCATTGCTCATTTTCCATGGGTTTCATCTCCTGGGGTTGTGGGGGAGGGGTAGATTAGGGAGTCACTGACAACGATCTGAGCCAGGTTTCAGCCTGCCTCTTAGCCCCCTTACTCTGACTCTCTCAGAGTTGGAAAAGCAAGGTAAAGAAAGACAGGACTTAGTTTATCAGATAAGCTTTCAAATTTACTAATAAACCTAGATACCATATTTCTCCAAGTATAAGACACACCCTTTTTCGAAAAATTTGGTGTCTAAAAACTGGGTGCATCTTATACAGTGGTTATATGAGTGCAAAAACAAGTGCGAAAAAAGCGGGAAATGCAAGTAAAAAAATCTACAACCACTGTATAAGACGCACCCAGCTTTTAGACCCCAAATTTTTTGAAAAAGTGTGCGTCTTATACATGGGGAAATATGGTATACAGTTTCACCATCTCTGTCTTTAAATGTTCACAGGCTAGTGTGCTAGCCAAGTTTTAATGAGCAAGGAAAATACCCTCACAGCTCATAGAGATGTCATCAAGAGAGGACCCTCTCCTGGCCTGCTATCTGATGAAAAGTCCTGACTTGAAAAGTTTAGCTAATCTGAGAAGAAGAAATGTGTACCATTGGATACCTCTATAGGACAAAACTAGTTTGCACAGCTGAATCATAAAGAAAAGAGACAACATTTCAATGAATATTTGAATAACAACAACCAAGAGTTCTTAAAAAATGAGACTTTCCAAAATACAAAAAAAAAAAAAAGAAAGGCCAAGAGAGAACATAACAGCTTAAAAACTGGCACAGAAAGTATGAAAGTCCATGGACAGTTCTAGAGATCTTCCAGATGCATATCAAAATATGTGAACAATTATTTATGATGTCTCTTGGTTCCAAGGTCTACAGGATGAGGCTGGGAGGCTGGATCCCGGAGGGTGGGACATTTTGGACCACATCTAATAGTAAGTGGTGATGGGTAAAGTGGGAAGGAGTGAAGAGTGAGACAGGAGGGAACTGATGCGGGCACTCCTGTGTGCAGGGACCATATAAGGAGAAGAGGGCAGAGTGTTCTCCCAAAGGCATTCTGGCCTCCGCTGATATGGGTCCTGGCTGAGCCCCATGTTGCTTAAAGGGGCATTACCAAGGGCCCCTTCCAAGGGAGGGGCAAACAGCTTTCCTACTTCTCCTCACAAGTTGCCCAGACAGCTCTGGGTTCTCACGGAGTTCCTTTTAGGCATTCAAGACATCTCAGGAATGGTTTTTGCTAAGAGAATGAAATGGTGGTGTTTCCTCCAGACCACTGTTTCACAGATTCTTTTGTTATGACAGAGATGTTTGTCAAATAAGACAGGATTGCTTCACCGTGACTAATAGAAACACACACCTAGTGTGTGTGTGTGTGTGTGTGTGTGTGTGTGTGTGTGTGTGAGAGAGAGAGAGAGAGAGAGAGAGAGAGAGAGAGAGAGAGAGAGAGAGAGATGCAATGATCTAATAAAAAACCAGAGCCATTATCTCCTGGAGGAATATTTCCCACCTGCTGAGCAGCCCACAGACAGGGCTGGCCTTCTGAGAGGCGAGAGGGAAACCAGGGGTCATGAGCCCCTCGAGGTGAAATGGCAGCAGAGAAGGGGCCTGTCCGTTGTGGAGGCCACTGCATTCTGCAGCAACAAAGACACAGAAGAGTCACCAGGGAAGACCACAAAAAGCCAAGAAAGATAAACTACCCCCAAACAAAAGGAGGAAAAGATGGAGCTGCCGAGCAGGGGTCACTTCTTTGTCACTTCTTTCTTGCTCTTTCCGGATGGTTCACAGATACGTCCAAACAGATGTGGGGTGGGGCCTCAGGGTAAACATGTCTCCCATACATGGAGTTGACCGTGGAATCAATAAGTTTTATATCAATGTGGAATGTCAACTATTATTTATAGCAACTCTCCCTCCTTAATATTGGAATAGCTTCCACCGATTTTAAATAAATAACCTGATTGGAGCAGAGGCCCGTTCTGTGCAGGAGGAATGAACCCCATACACACAGACCAATTTGGGGAGGCTGAAGGGTCTCCTCCCTCTCCCATGTGCCAAGGTGCCTGAGCTACGGACAATCTGAGTGACCCACAGAATGTACCCTCCATGTACCAGCCACACGGGCAGAAAATGAATGTAAAACAAGTCTCTTTTCAATCTTTCCTTTCAAAATGCAGACGTGTTATGCAGTAAAGATGGCCCTTGGCCCGTAAGCAGCCATTGCCACATTTCAAGAACCACTATTGAATTGTGGTTACCTTTTTGAGCTCTAAGACCATGGGGAAAGGGACCGGTGAGTTTTGATGCAGGAGAAGGGAGGAAGGCTTCTGGGTTGTATGCACCCATTCTAAATAAATCTCAGCATCCAAGTGTTAGCAGAACAGACCTGGGCTTGTGGGGGAGCGAGAGAATGTTCTACGGGGGAAACGAAAGCCAGCAAAGGAAGGTGGGATTCTTCTCCTCCTCCCTGTCACAAGGCTGCCCTTCCCCATATGCCCATGTCTCAAATGCCAGCATTTGAATGGTGATACTCCTAATATTCTTGCTGCTTCCTCTACACTTCCTTCCTCTTCTCTGAATTTACCCACATACCCACTCCCTCATTACCACCTCAGGCTACCTCATTCCATACAGACCTTCCATGGCCCTGCCCTCACCCACCTCCCTCACATCATTTCTCAGTTCTCTGAGTCCAGATCTATGCAACATCCCTGCCCCTCCTTCCATCTCCTCTTCATCTCTCATTCCTTGCCAAAGCAGCCTTCCTCTCTCCTCCTCCTAGCAAAACCCTACCCATCGTCGTGGCCTAGCTCCAGTGGGCCCTCCTTGAAATCTCTTTTGATGCCCAGTCAGACACTGCTCACCCCCACAATATCTGCTTGAACCTGCTCAAGACTTATCTCATTCTGCTTTGCATTCAGGTCAGGTGATTCTGTTTTTTGACCTTCAAACTGGAGAACTTGGTCTGATCAACACTTGTAAGACCCCTAGGGCACAATGCTTAGTCCCTAAAAGCTGAATGTCCCTGAACTTTTGGAATGTAAGTTATAGTAAGTAACCTGCCTTACAGTAAGTAGGTAATTATTTAGGGACTTGTCTAATCTCTTTTAGAAGCAGGACTATTGTTAATTATAGCAGCTGTAGTTGGTAGCATGGGGTCTAGGATGGAATAGTCACTCAGTAAACATTTGTTGCACATTGAATATTAATTGGTGACATGAGGGCACATTGGGCTCCTTGAGGTCCTTGAATCAACTCAATGAACCTCTGTCTTCTCCTTTCAGAGCCAGTGGTGCTGGTTGAACTTACTCTCCTTACAGCATGCAGCAGGCCATCCCCTGCTCCTGGGCTGTCTAACACACGGCTCAATGGAGAGAATCCAGGCCGGGGATCCAGGGGACCTGGGGTAGGTGCCCGTCCTGCTGCTGAAGAGCTTTCTCTCTACTGAACCAGTCTCTACTGGAGCAGCTAGACCAAGGACAAGGCCCATGGATAGCAAAATGTTGCATCTTGTGGCTGCTTACCTTTTGAAGCACTTGTTGCATTGAACTAACCATTTGAGTTCATCTCAATTGGTGGACTGACCAGATGTGGTGACTAAAGCCATGTGCAAAGCCTGGGGGAGGGAGGGTGCCAGCCCCAGGGAGAGGGCCAAGAGCAGGGGGAAGGGGTATGTCGGCCACAGGGAGGCCCATCAGCCCAGGCTGAGAGATACGCATGGTCAACTGACTAGACAGAAGAGGAGGGAGACGATCTACGAAGGGCTTAATTATATTGGCTCTTAGATTTATCCCACCAAACCCTTAAGCATAAATACCAAGGAGTTGTCATGTGAAGTCCAAGGCAACCCAGCCTGGTCGCTTGGAGAATGGGAGCTCTTACCATGCACGTGTCAAATCTGGAAATGCAGTCAATTTAGCAGACCCTTTAATTGGCGTCTCTGGGGAGCTGAGGTCAACCAGATCAATCAGAGGGGACAGCATAGAGGCCCAATGCAGGGACGCAGGAGGTTAGGGCTGGCTCTCCCTGGCACAGTCTAAAAGTGGCCCGAGGTGGCCCTGGGTCTCCCCCAGCCTCTGGTTTCCACCTTGTGCACACTGTGCCTGGGACCTAGAACCTTCCTTTTTCCTTTCTCAACAAAATTCTTCCCTCAGAAAAATATCTAGTAAATCCAGGCACACTGACCTACAAAATGCTTGAATTATTTTTGTCTTATCCCCAGGGAGCATTTTGGTTCGTTTAAGTTAAAGAAATAGGCTGTTAGGATATTTTCAGAAGCCAGTGAACCTTCGAGAGGAACACCCATTTTTGGCTTTGTGGGGACAGATGGGGACCTGCTTACAAGGCCCTGAACATGCCAATGAACTTAATACAGCCCCAAAGAGAAAAACCAATCTCACATTGGAAGTAGCCTGCTTGGCCTTTTGGTTTAAAATAGTGTCTGAATATCAAACAATAGGAATGGGAAAATAAAAAATGGAAGAAGGGATTAAGGGATGGAGGGAAGGAGGAACAGAGGGAGGGAGGAAATATCATTCTGAAGAATCAGAAGAGCAGAATTCTTTGGAGGAGAGGGGAGGGAAGGGGAGGGTGAATGAACTAACACAGGCCTTACTCTTAGACATTTTCTGGAAAGACTTTTGACTTATAAATATAAAGAAAATAAAATCATTCAAGCATCCTGGCTGAAAAGAAAACAAAACACAAAAGAGGTTGTCCAGAAAGAAACAAAAGTCTGCTTGGCCTCAATGTCAAATTTCAGAAGACAATGGAACAGGATTTTACAACATTTTAAAGGGCAAAAATATTCTCACCTATACATTTCACACTTTGCCAGACTGCCCTCATCTTTGAGCATGAAAATAACAGAAGGTCCTGTTCTGTCTGCTTCGTGAAGCTTCCCCAAGCACAGTGGGTGAGCGGGTCCCTGTGACCAAAAGGAACTTGACCTCATGAGGTGTGGCTGCAATCACCAAGTCAAGGTCACACCCAGGCCCTCAGGTGCACGTTGCTGTTCCTTCTGGTAAACCTTGTTTTCACTGACTGCCTTCCTCCCCAGGATGAAGTGACCAGGCTTCCAGGCACCTACTCTGTGTCCCACCCTGGCTGAGGTAACAGAATGCACCTGCCTCCTCTGTTGCCTCTGCCCAGTTGAACAGAAAACCTCGCTAAAGACACCCTAGTCTGTGTATTGTCTATCTGAAGCCTTCTTGAGGTCCTTGAATCAACTCCATGAACCTCTGTTTCCCCCTGCCCCACTTCTTCTCTAATCCAAGTGGCGTTTTGCCTCCTGGAGTCCTGTACAGCACCAGGCTGCCTGCTGCAAGGGTCAGGCAAGCCCTCTCCTTTCCAAAGAAAACTTGGCCATTCCTTGCTTCACTGACTCAGTGCTCTGTCCCATGCCAAGAGCTGGGGAGGTACCCTTAAGAAACTTTCAGGCTAGTTATGGAGAGCAGTGTAGCAGATACTCTAGGATGCTCACTCCACACCATTTCCAATCACCTTCCTCTTAGCTTATTTCTACTATAAAGGCTAGAAAGCTAGACACTTGATGTCCCAGTTTCCATTGCAACTAGAGTGGCCACACGACACATTTCTGGCCAGTGAAATGCAGGCAGAAGTTCCAAGGAGAGCTTTGCTTGTCTCACAATGAGGCAAAGCTTGCTAGAAAAAAAGCCTTTTCCCCCTCTGGTCTTCACTTCTCTTCCCACTGGGAACACAGATAAGGTGGCTAGATGCTCAGTAGCCATTATGTGGTCATGAGGCAACAAGTCAGAGGGTGAAAGCTACCGTGCTGAGAATGGGGACACAGTGAGAGAAAAGGTGTCTCAGAAAGCAGCTGCACCAGCCCTGAGCTGACCACATCTGGATTTCATGGGAGAGGAGAAAAATAAGATGCTAATTGTTTAACACTGCACTTCAATTTTCTGACACTTGCAGCCAAATAGTTTCCTAATTGCTATAAGAAGGTAAATGAAGTTAAGTAATAACAAAACCTCAACTATCAGACAACCTCATTCTCTAGAGTCAAATTGTTATAAATCTGAGTGCTTCCTGTTTTAAGCAATAAGGCCTTTTTCAAAATGTTTTTTAAAAAATGTGTTTACATTAAACTTTTCCTATCATTCTGTGGTCAGCTGAAATATGCTGATAGCCTCACGGCTAAGGGAGACATATGTAAAGGGCTGGTAGCCCATTTTCTAAATAATCTCAGACTTACATCAATTTTTAATACTCCTTTGGCTTTTTATATCTTTTTTGACTCTCCATTACAGTTCTCAACATCCCCATCTATTCCAGGGCCTCTTTCTGTCTCTGATTCTCTGCGATAGGTTTACATTTGCAGGTAGCGAGTTTGCTAGAAGGGGTTGCAAGTAAGGACTAGGCTGTTAGTGAGGGTCTGAGGGGTCTTGCCTTCAAAATGAGGGCGGAGCCATATAAAGCCAGGGGCATGAACTTTCCTTACAAACTTTGAACCAGATATATCTTAGCTTCTCAGAAGCCTTTTAACCATCTTCTTGGTTGTTCGCTTTGTCCTGGGCAGGTGAAATTACGTGGAGTTGAGATTTAGAAATTTGAGGCATAAAGCAACAGCCCAAGATACGTCACAAGAAAGCGAATGATTAGGATCAAATGAACACTCTAAGCAGGTAGGGTTACACACATTCATGGGAGGGAGAGGTGCTGGTGGGCCAGAGTCAAGGAAAGTTTCATGGCACAGCCTGGAAGGCTGATCAGGCCCTGGCTGATTCAAATGAGGGAACTGACCTTTCTGGGAAGGTGGTAACATGGGCGAAGTCTTAGAGATTATGGCCAGTGGGCTTAGGTAGAAGAGTGCAGGTAGCTGGACTATGAGGAGGAAGTTATGGCTGAACTAGAACCCTCTGAAGAGCCAGAATTCCCTTCTTCCCGGGGACCAGGGACCACAGACAGGTAGCTGAACCCACCTTGTTCAGGAACCAACCTGGAGAGGGCCCCTTGTTGTTGTGGCCAACAGCAATCTTAATCAGCTGCCCCAAATTAGGGGCATCCAGAGTAAAATTGTCTTCAGAGGCCTTTTCAAAGTTTTTCTTGTCACTTTCCAGTCTCCGCTCCCCTGTATGCACAAGGAGATACACAAGAAAATTGAAGACCAAAGGACAAGAAACAGCCAGCTCCAAGCCTTACTGGTCGACCTACTGAAGAATGGTTTCAAAAGTCAACCAGGGGAGGAGGCTGTGGGGTGGGGGGATAGTTGGTATGTGGGCCCTCTCTGTGCTTCTTCTCCATTTTGCTATGAACCTAAAACTTCTCTAAAAATACAGTTACAAGGGCTGGCCGAGTGGCTCAGTTGGTTAAGAGCTCGCTCAAGAGATTGAGCTCTGAGTAACAGCGGTTTGAATCCCGGCCCGAGCTGAGCTGTCGCTGAGCTGCCAACAGGTGGCAGGATGTCTCAGCTAAAAATAAAGAAAGAAAGAAGGAATAAAAAAAAAAGTCAACAAGGGTAACTTCATTCTGAGATCTATGGACTCTTTAAAGCCCTCCAACCTCCAGTCAAGGCAGAGGCTTGCCCTGTGTGTGGCTTGTGCCTGAGATCCATCATTGATTTCTGATTTCTGCCTTAGTCTGGAGTGCCCATCCTAGGAAGCCAATCTGCACCTCCATTCCTAGACCTGAGGCCTTGCCTTGCTTGTAGCAACTGCTTGTCCTGAACTAGGAACACAACGTGGTAGCTGGTACAGGGGCCGTGGCTGGGGCCCTGACAGCAGCCAGCAGACTTCCTTAGGCCTGACTCCGTGTTTTTGGAAAACAGCAATGAGAACTATCATCACGCACTGCTAGTTGTTTAACACGGACATTTCCCCCCTCACGTGTCCCTCGTTACAACACAAGAAGGAGGTCTTATTAACTCTGTCTTACAGATGAAGAAACTGAGACTTTAGAGAAGTTAAAAAACTTGCCAAAAGTCACACAGGTAATAAGCTCAACAGGTTAGGACTCATTCTAACCTGTTCCTTCTACTTTACAATTTTCCATTATTATATTCCAAGTCAACAGGCCACATGAACCTTCCAGCCCCACCTAAGCACCAATGTTTTGCTTACACTGCCCTGTTTTCTTTTCTAAAATTTAATTAAGCTTTTCTAAATTTTAAGTTGCAACAACTCAAACATACAGAAAATAATATAAGACATCCATGTGCCCACCCCCCTAGGTTTCAGTTAATACAGATGCTACCATTTCGTCTAATTTGCATAGACTTTTCTCTTCTTTTAAAGGAAATACATCATGACAGATAGATCTAAAGTCTCACTGTCCATCCCTACCTCCCACTCGCGCCCTCAAATAAACACTATCTTTAATTGGTAGGATTGTTCCTGTGGGTTTTTGTTTGCCCATGTTTGTATCCATAAAGAAAATATGCTATTTTTCATGTTTTTAGAATTTTACATAAATCATATTGTGCACATCTCTGTCTCAAGTTTCTCATCTGTACAATGGGGATAATAACAGCACCACTTTGTAGGGTTCACTGTGAGGATTCATTGAACTGATGCACACAAAGCACTTCCAATAAGTGCTATTAGTGATTGGGGCTGTAGTTAGTGCTCCTGTTAGCATCGTATCATCATCATCATATCACATGCCCTTGTGCAACTTACTTTTTTGTTAATATGTTTTTGAGATTACCCTGTTGAAGCTAACTGGTTCACTCATCCAACTGTTGTACGCTAGTCACTGAATGAAGAAAACACCGCTATGTGTGCTTTCTTCCACTGATGGACACTTAGGTTGTTTCTGGGTTTTTTGCTATTGTAAATAGCATTGAAATGGGCTCTTTTGTACCTACCTTCTGCTGTATGTTTGTAAAAACTGGTTCTAATTTTGCATATCTTGCCTCCTGTAGGGCCATTATCTCCTTTTTTGACCCCAAGGTATGAAAACCCATCCTGTAGATTGTTGAACATGAAAGTTCTCCCCTTTCAAAAGCCACAGCATTAATTAATAGATAATATTTTCTGAGTTCTCTCTTCATTTCTGGCACCTAGAGACTTCTCTTTTTCTCTTATAAGCTCAGCAATGCTGTTTGAATTTTCTAATATATTGTGTCCAAAATTCACATGTCTCAATAGCTTTACTGACTCCTGTGCTATTCCATTAAATTGGAAGAAGCTGGAGAGAACCACCTGCCTCAGTTCCGCAGGCTTGAATTTCCTCCCAATACCCGTGGCTGTAGCTGTGTCCTCAGTTCCTGCTCCATATATGAGGCCAGCTCCATTCTATCCCTGGCCCCATTCTGTTCTGCCCAAAACCACTACATTGAACTAGGCCATGCCCAGCCACATCCCAAAATATATCTCAAGATGGACATAAAGCTTAGGGAGATAAAGAAGTTAAGTGAGAATGAGTTCCCTGGGGATGTGGAGCTTGGATCTGCTCTAGGATGTAGGACAGTTTTAACTCAACCTCAAACCCAAGCATACCTTATTCTGAAAATACATCACACACATAAATTTTACAAGATGGGCACTTGGCTGCCCAGGGAAGGCCATGACACCCCACATTGCAAGAAATGCAATGCGCAATGTGGAGGAGGAGGCTGGAGCTGCCTTCCTCTTCCAGGAGGGTGGGAAACAGCCCACCTGAGAAGCAGTTCGGGGCATAGCTTGTGAAGAAAGGACTTCAAATCCATTACCTGTGTCTCCGTACTCTCCAAAGATATTGATAAAGACTTCAGCATCCGTCCCTGCACCAGCAACATCACCAGTGCACACCCTGATTTCATACCGGTTACCTGAGAATGGAGACAGAAAAAGCCTCAGCTCGTTAGGATACTGAGGAGAGAAGAACAGAGACCCCAAAGTAGCAACCACGCCACACAGCCTCCCCTCCAGCAATGCATGAATTGTCACCATTGCTGTTAATAAGCAAGAAATAAGTTGCCTGGCATTGGTTCCAAATGGTCGTTGCTAATACATACGTGTATCAGATTAACACATGGTATACCTTAAACTTACACAATATTATATGGCAGTTATATTTCAATTAAGCTGGAAAAAACTCAAATGGTTATTGCTAAACTGATTGCATAGCATAAATAGGAGGTAGAGGAGACCTGTTTTCACCTACTAACATGTTGCCTTGAGATGTAGGAATCAGCCCAACTCCAAGGCACACACTGAACCAACCCACCAGCATATCTCCCCTGGATACTGAAATTAACTGAGCCCCTCCCTGCTTCTACTCTGCCTTCTTCTCCAATGTGTTCTCCACATTTCATCACAGTGTAAAAATTCATTGGAGAGAATGGATTCTGCAAATGAAAACGGTCAGGGCCATAACCTCTGCAAAGACAAGAGGCACCAATAGTATCCAGCAAATGCATACTTTGGGGTTACCTCATGTAAGGACCTGTATCTGCTTCCTGGATATTTGCTCCATTCACTAAATAAAAATCTATTCTCTGTTACCCCCAGATGTCTCAGTCTTGGCCTTGACTTTGAGGCAGGATGGGTCTCAAGGTAAACTGGACAATATACTGAGCCCTGCCCAGGTCTTCCCAGATGGAGCCTGCCTTAGGGTGAGGAGCAACAGGCAGGGGTTGCTGTGTAGTACGGGAAGGGGGACACCTGAAGCTTTTCTTTGTGTGCCAACAATTCTTAGGGCTGAGACAACTTTGCCTCCCTTTTCCCTTCTTGCAATGGCTTTCTATTTTTTATGTAGTGGAATCTTTTGTTCGGATATCTTATGCCCAGTAAGTGAAGCTGATAAAAATTAGAGCTGTTTTCCAACTATCTCATAAATGTCATTTTCTAATAGTTTGAATTGGGATATAAAGAAAGTCACATTGTGATAGCTCTTTTAAGTCTCTTTTAATCCATAGGTTTCACATTCTATCACTTTTTTTTCCATGCAATTTTTCTTTTTCTTTTTTTTAATTTATTTTTTACTGTGAAATAAACATTTTTTAAATTAGTTTCAGCTGTACAACACAGTGCAATAGTTATACTTGTCACCCCTCAAAGTGACACCCCCCTACCCCAATCCACCACCCCACATCCCCCCCATATCATACGTATCTATTACAATTCCCTTGACTCCACTCCCACACTATACTCCACGTCCCATGACTATATATATATATATATATACATATATATATATAGTCATATATATATATAGTCATATATATATATTCACTTATAGTTGACATACAATATTATACAACATCAGCTTCAGGTGTACAGTGCAGTGATCAAGCCTCTACTCCATAAGATACTTTGCTTAGTAAAAAATAATAATAATAATTAGAGCTGTTTTAATTGAGGCCCAGAGTCAGCCCCTCTGCCCACATTCTCCCAGAGCTTGCCTGATGTCCCAGCCCCCAGGGGTCTTTCTCTTCTGCATTCCTGGGTTCTGCCACGTTGTCTGTGTCAGCGATTTCTAAGTTCGCCATCAACTGCCTTCTACTGTTTGCTGCTTCCTGCAGGTAAGACTTCTAAGTTCCTCAGGTATACTGCAGGGGATCCACAGAGGACACCCCCCCACACACACACAGTCCTGAAAGCTGGTTTTTGACCTGTTAAGAACCCTGAGCCAGGAGGGAGCAAAAACGTCTCTTTCTCTCCTCCATGCTCACTCAGTGAGACCCTTCATGGGACAGGGAAGGCCCTTCACTCCTTGTCCCTAACTGAAGGCTCCAGTAAGACAGCCACTCTCAGATTCCCACCTCTTCTTACTTCACCGTGAAGCCCCTTCTGAGGCGGAAGACAGAATCAGGGCCTTCAGAAGAGGCCAGACCCCAGTAACCCTGAAGGCAGTGGCTTGAAACTTGGGCCATATTCAGGCTGCCTGGGGAGCTTGTTAACAAGGCAGATTTCCAGGCTCCCGTCTCAGATTTTGAGACATGTGATTGTATAGAACCAGGAAGGCCTTGGCCATGCCCACCTGACCCTGCCCTTGATTGTCTTCCAAGCTGCAGAGGCCTCCTGGTGAGGGGTCGGTGCTTTCCTCCCCTGGCAGGCAGGGCCTCTGGCTCCCATTCTGCCTCAGGTCCAGTCCAGGGCTCACTTCACCCAGAGGCAAGACCCCTTTGCAGTGTGGCAAGTTGCCCAGGGCCCTGTGGCTGGTGATGCCACAGTGTGGCAGGGGTTGGGGAGTCTCTGAAGGCCACTGCTGAGCACTGGTCAGTCAGAAAAAGCAACAGACCTCCAGAGGGCACTGGGCACAGTGAAGCAGGAGAAAGAATGCGTGTCCAGTAAGCCTTGTGGATGGCGTAGTAGACTTTCTGAATTATTACAGGTGGCAGAATTAGAATTAGTGGGCTGAATGATAAAGAAGGATATTTTAGCTCACCCAAAGCAACGTTTTCTAGTAACTAGGGTTATCCAATGAGGAATGGGGAGCCCTTGGGGCAGTGAGTTTCCTATCCCTAGAGAAACCTAGGCAGTCACTATCTGTCAGGGAGGCTGTGGAGAAGAGGCCAGAGGAGAGAGAATGTGAGAACACTAATGGTCCTTTTCAGTCTGCAGTTCCATGACATTTGACCAGGAAAGGCAGCCCTGCGGACTGTGGAGGGAAGCCAGATGATGAAGGGGGTATCTTAGAAGATGGAGGAAGTACCCGAGGCCCATGCAGGTGAGGCCTGGGAAGCAGCTGTGGGAACACGCAGCATCCCTGTTCCGGGAAAGTGCAGAGAAGCAGAGCATCGGGCCGAAGTGAGGCAACGTGGAGACAGCCGCGGGGTTGGGATCAAGAGGCCAGGCAGAGCTGGGGCGGGAAGGAGTTTCCAGGCCTTTCTGGCTGAGGTGGACAAGGGGCCATGCCCAGGGATCATGAAGTCAGGTGAACGGAGTGCAGGAGGAGGTCGAATCTGGCACAAGAGAGGACTGTCTTCTAACCGCTGAGAACTTTCTACGGCAAAACGGGGCCCTGGGTCTCCATGCAGTTGGCTGGGTAGACAGCATAATTTCCTTGTGTCAGATGACCCCAGTCACATTGGGGAGTGGCGTGGGTGCGAGGGCTGCAGCAGGGCGGGCTGGCACATGTCACAACCAGTTTTTTAAAGGTCCCACCGTAGAGGGACAAGGAGGCTGATTCGATTACTGTTTTCCCTCTTTTTCTTCTTTTTAACATTTTCTCTTCAAGCAAAATCCCAGACTTTCTGATCTTCCATTTCCCAAACAAGGCCTAGGGCCCTGTGCCAAACCTGAATTATAATTAAGTGCATATATCGATGAAAGAGCAGGCTGGATAAAAGCAGGGCTTCCTTCTCCCCCAGTTTGGCAAACTGTCAGAGCAGTGCATCAAACCTTCCTCCCCAGTGTTCATTTGAGGGCCCCCCAACTTCCTGTGATCAGAATTTCAATGAGTGCAAACTTGCAATTCCGGTTACAAGTGGATTTTCGTATGTTGAACTCACTCCGTAGATCTGGTGATCACTGAGCGGGCAAAAGGTCCTCATGTGAAATGTGGTTGCCCTCCTGGTAAGTGGAACCTGCTAACAGAGGGAGGGCTAAGGGCCAGTAAAATTCCCTGCCTCTAGGCCAGAGGGGATCAAGGCAGTAGAGAAAGACGATGAGAAGAAAGGGTTAAAAGAGGAAGGCCAGGGTTGACTCACCCTCTAGGGCAAATATTACTAAATATTCACACAAGCCTTGCCACCCACAAGGCACTAAATCATCCTTGAAGTCATCTGACCTGTATAATGACCACATGACCCAGGAAGAAGAGGCCCTGCTGATATTCTTATTTGTAGATGAGGAAATTGAGGCTCAGAGGGGCAAGGTGGCTTGCCTGAGGACACACAGGTGCTAAGCAATGCAAGGGGTGGGGGTTGGGGGGTGGGGGGGGCAAGTCTCTTGTCTCAGCATCTAGGGATTTTTCCAGAATGCTTCATGGCTTCTGCTCTATGCCAGAGGTCAGCAAGCTTTTCCTGTAAAGTGCCCCATAGTAAATATTTCAGGCCTTGCAGGTCACTGGGTCTCTGTCTCAACTACTCAACTCTGCTATTGTCTCACCAAAGTAGCCATACACAATATTACATAAAAACTACGTAAATGCATGGGTGTGGCTCTGTTCCAATAAAACTTTACGGACACAGACAGACATTTAAATTCCATATAACTTTCCCATGTCATGAAATATTATTCTTCTTTTGAGTTCCTTTCAACCTTTTAAAAATCAAAAGAACCTTTCTTAGCGCTAGGTCACAAAGGCAGGCAGCAGGTGGTATTAGGCCCACAGGACGTAGTTGGTCACCCCTGTCCTCAGGTCTCAGGCACTGTTCTGTGTGTTTCTAGGTATAACTGCTATGGCCTGGAGTGGGAGCAGTGCTGCCTGATGCAGGGGCGGTCAGCTGCTGGCTGCAGCATAACCACAGCACATCCTAACCACTAGCTAAGCAGCTCAAATCTCCATAGATCGGGGAACTATTGCCCTTTCTCTGTTGAAGTGGAGGGGGTGAGAAGGAGCATGTCCTGTGTCTAGTGTGGGCAGGCAGGGCCAGCTTTCCCTGCCTCCATGATGCTGTGTGCCTGAGCTGAACCTGAAGTTCCCCTTAGTCCAGTGGCGTCGGGGCCTGGGCCAACGTTTCCTGAAGGCAGGGACAGATGGCAGCACCAATTCTGCATCTTTAGGCATTGTGCCTTCCACTCATTGCCTAGCTGAGAGCAAGCAAGGAGCAGAGATGGGGTGAGGGGAAAAGGTTAAGTTGGAGGAGGAGTTAGCAAGGATGGGAGAAACAGGAGTTAGTGATGGATCACGAGAATTGCTGCCCAAGTCAGCACTGGCCTA